CCCAGTGCACTATTCGAATTTCGCAGAGCTTGCAATCTGTCAACGCTGCAAAGTGTGCTTTAATTTTATGACACCAACAAAGCACAGCACAGCACAGCCTCTATTCACCCCGCACTGCTCTTTATTGAAATATTATGCAACAAAGTTGATGAATTTTTAGCCCGACAAAACTTCAGAGCTGCACGGGGACTGCGCATTAAGCGAGTCCCGAGTTCCGAGTTCTGAGTCTTGGCTGGATAAAAATAAGGATAAGGCTAAGGAGCTAAGGAGTGGAGTGGGTGTGAGCAATGACTCTTGGCCCTTTTAGCATTGTATCAGGTGTTTACCAAGCTCACACACACATACAGAGACTCAGACACACAGAAAGCCAAGACGCTGAAGCGGCAACAAAGGCAGAAAATATTATAATAGCAATTGAGAATTGCTGATGAGCCCTGCCACCAGGCTCAGGACCCCGACTCGACCTGCCTTTTCGGCGAACTGTCAGTTTACAACAATGTGCACTGAGGATAAAAAATAGTTATTCCGATATTTCTAAAGGTTTGAATTCATTTATAGAAATTGGCAAACCTATGCTTTAGCATAATTTAAATTCGAAACACTAACGAAGGATGTCATTGCTTTTTTTCACAGCATACTTTTAGACACTATTTTAAAGGAATTTTAAAGCTCTTCGTTTTATATGAGAACTTTTATTCTGTCTTTTTTTTAAATTTTTAAAAAGTTGTATGTTGTTAAAATTTTTCTCGGCGTGGATAAAACCGGAGCCGAAGCTCTCTGCTCTTTGCACAGACTTAATGCCGAGGGAGCATTTTAATTATTCAACATTGTTGACAAAGTTTGTACGGCGTGCGTGTGAGCGGGACGGCTGTTGAGCAATATGATTTGCTGCTTGAGCAGTCAAAAGTTGGCCGACAACAACGACGAAAACGGCAAAAGCAAAAATTCGGTCTACGCCAGCAGCAAACTGTGGCTGTTGACAGTGGCAAGAGAAGTGGCATACCACCAGTTAGTTGCTCATTTTGCTTAAATCGCAAGAGGCAATGAATAGTGATCGAATGACCATCAAAGGAGTTGTTGGCAACAAGATTTAAGCAACTCTAACAGGCTACAAAATCACAAAAGAAACTACAAAGCTGTACAGCAAAAATATCAAATAATTAAACCCTTTCTAGCAATTTTGACTAGTGCACTAGGATTGCTACTGATATGCTTACAATGTTAAACATTAAGATGAAATTCTGATGAAATTCTGATGAAATTCTGATAAGCTTAGAAAATATTAAATGTAACCACGATTATTTGTCAGAATGAACAAAGTTAAGTTTCTATATATTACACGATTTCTTAATCTACATTTTTAAATCTTATTATACTTTTAACTTTCATCCTTAATAATACATTCATGCATTAAACCTTTGAGCTTCATTCAAGACCAATTAAGATCTTGGCGACAATCTGCCTAGGCTAAATGCATCAATTAAGCTGGGGACCAGTTATGGTTATCGCTCATCGTTTCAGTTAACGCTATAAACCAAATTGGTAGCGACTGCAATTTAATTTCTTTACAGCAGTTCGCAGCGTCGGCCAAAAAAAAAGAGGGGGAAAGGGAATATGGGGCAGACTGACCGAAAAGCCGGAAATGGATGCTCAGTTCAGCATCGGCGAAACATTTTGGTCGACGCGCTTCACTAATTCTGTTTGCCCATACAGCAAAAGGGGGTAGAGCAAAAGAGACGGAGATTGTGTGGGTTGATGAGTGGGTGGTCGACATAAAAGAGACGGCTGGAGGGAGAGAGGGAGAACCGCATACAGAGTGCAGGCGAAGCAAACATGTTTTGAGTGGCTTTTGCGGCATTGACGCGAAGACAAAAAAGCGCCAAACCAAATTGCATGCAGCAGTGGCAACAAAAGCTGCTGCAGTGGCACAAAGGCCGAAAAAAAACACCGAATAAGTAGCTAAAACATAGTTAAGACCATGCAATACCCAGTAAATTGAGTAGTTGGGAAGGGTAAATTTTAACACAATGGAGAATTTAACAATTTTTATACACAATGTGTAAAAAAAAAAATATAATGTTTTGAATATTAGGTTTTTTTGGTATTTGATTAATAATATTGACTTTTTGAATATTTCGAATTATCTTTTTGTTTTGCTTCTATTATATTTTTCAAGTCAACTGCTAATTTTTTTCTTAAATTTCAACAGGTGATAAGAAATACCAATTAAGCAACATTCGTTATGAATGACTTTTTCAGTATTTGATAAATAAAATTGAGTTTAAAAATTATCTTATTTATGTTTTTTTTATTCATTAATTGTTAATGTTTCAATATTGATTACTTTTTTAATAACTTAAGATTTCATTATTTTTCCGATATACGCTTAAACTTAAGGTAAGAGTTCGTAATTTGCTGATTTCGATTACAATATGTCTGTTCGGCATAAAAACCGAGACCATTCATGGGCCTTATGGAAAATTACAATGCAATTGTTTGCCATTGGCAAGCCCCCTTCCGTGCACCCACACAAGCCAAAAGTCAGACCAAAGCCAAGCAAATGTGGTGAACGAAACGAAATGGAATGGAACTCCGGCCGGAAGTACGCGGAAAAGAGAAGAAGAAACAGCCGCAGCGCAGAGCACTCACAACATTCACAACAGACTGCCTGGCGTCGTCGTCGTCATAGTCATCCTCATCGTGATTTTCAAGTGGCGCGACCATTATCGATTAAAAAAGTTCAGTGGTGTAGTGGTCTAGTGGTAGTGCTGCATTTGTCAGGTGGAGTGCACGCATACACAGAAAAAAAAATTTGATGTTATTATTCATATCATTTGGATGTATTATTATCAATCGAATATGAATTACACCATATAAATGAATCCATTTTCGCTACTTTCCCACATATTTTAATTTCTGTCAAGAAATACATTTATACACAGTAAGAAATACATTTCCGAGCTTTTAAAATATATACATATATTATTTCCTGTTTCTAAACGGTCGACTATATCACATAAATGCCAAATAAACAAGCGGAAAAATTAAAAAAAAAAATTAAGGCTTCCGTTTTTTTTAGGCGTCATATATTTTATTTTTAAAGGTAAAGTTCTATTTTTATAAAAATCAGACGACTATAGCTTATGGATGTCTTAACACATAGGTGTTTCACTTCTTCTTTTTATTGATATTTAATTTTTATTTCTGTATAGAGGAGATGTCAGGGGTCAGGGGTCAGGGGTCAGGGGTCAAAGGGGAATCGCTGGTGCAGGTCTTTCACTGCACTTTTTCTGATTAACTGTTGCATAATTTTCGGGGCTGCGGTTTTCCTTTGTGCAGTCATCGTTCGGCCTGCTAATTGAATTTGCATGACAAATCAGGGCACTCACTCGAATGAATAACGAATTGTGAAAGCGAATATGAATGGACGTCGGAGGTCGGAGGTCGCAGGAGGCCTGAAAGTTACTTAAAAATGTGTGTGCGGCAGGGCACCCAAAAAAGCAGAGCTCAAACAAATGGCGAGAGAAAAAGGAGGAGGGTGCGCATCACACAATAGCCTTGCATATTTAAGCACAACACTTATATGTCCCCAGCACCTCCTCCTTCCTTTCGCCTCCATCTTTTTGGCAGCATTTCGGCTGAGAGGCGAACAAAGAGGCTTTTGTATGCCACAACGCGTTTGCCTTTTTTGTATTCCTGCTCGCTGCTGCCCTCACTCTGTGGAAGACACGCATATGCCACATACGTGGCCCATTGTTTGTATTGAACTTATGGAGCCAAGGGACGCAAGGAAAGGCAGAGAAAAGCGCAGAGAAAAGCCGAGCAGAGAAAGGCGACCAAACTCCACTCGGGCGTTTTCATTTGCGCTTCAAATCTAAGAATAATAGCAGCCTTGATTACATTCACGCCGCTTTATGACAAGCGAGAAAAAATGAAAAGGCAGGGGAAAGAAAATAGAAGAAGGGAGCAATTTGAGACAATGGCTAAAAAATTGTGACATCCAATGCTAATCGATAAATTTCAACGATTGTCGATAAATATAGAATCATTCCATGGAATAATAACTAAGTTGTTAGTAAACCAGGATAGTGACAAAAAGAATAAATAAATAAAAAAAAATCAACGACTAATTCTCTTTGAAAAAAATATTTTGAAATATATTGATATTTACAAATATTTCAGGAATATGTACATTGGTCATCAATCAGTAACTCCGATTTAATTTGAAGTATTTCTTCGAACTTTGAGTGAATTATTTGACAATTACATTTTCAACGATTGTCGATAACAAAACGATAAATAATCGATTGCTGCTTTTGCCCCACTGTGCAGCTTCAGCTGGGCTCAAATGAAAAGAAATGAAATTAAGTGGCATGTTGTTGCTTGTTCGCCTGAGCGTGGAAGGATGTGGGAATGTGGCCACGCATGACCAACTTGCAATCACCCCCTACTCCCATTGCCACCCACAAACAGACGTCGTCTGCTTGCCACTTGAGCTCTACACAGTAAGCCTGTTAAACATTTCGAGTGTTAATTGTGTGCGAACAACAATAACAGAGGGCATGGATGTGGAAAACGGTGGGGAAAATGAGATTGGAGGCTGCAGACGACTGACAGGCCGTCGTGATTGGAGCCAAAAGCATGCTGATGGTCGTTTTTGCGATATTAACTTGTGTTTTTTTCATACTCAACGAAGAACACGGGGTTACACTGAATCTCATTATAATAATGACCCTTGGTTTGGATGACTCTTATCTCTATCTATGCTCGCATACTTTTAAATGTATGAACTTGATGAATTTTTAAATCGACTGCACTTAATTTACAAGGCTGGGACATCTGTTAATATTAAGCTGATTACTAGTAATTTTTCCATTGGCAAAGGAAACTGGACGCTGGAAGAAAAAAACACAACTTAAAGGCGGGAAGAATTCAACTTCAATTCGGCTTGAATTGTTTACTTTTGAGTCCGGCGTTGCCACCTTTTCTATAGAGAGTTAAGTTGGTTGCGCTTCACTATTTCACGGTTTTTACCTAAAAGCAACGTGCGAGTGTAAATGAGTATCAATGAAATATAAGCACACTATTTTGACCGTTTCATGAAATGATTGCATGATCTGGCCATCGCATAAACACAGTAATAGTTCTCTCTCATAACCTCCCATAAACTTTTGTATAACCGCATCGAATATCAATCTTCACGGTTTGACCTCCCATATCCGATCGCATCCGCTGAGCTTTTCGGTGTACAGTACTTGGACAATGGCAACGGTTGTGGAATTGCTGCTGCACCTTCTTCTCCTCGTTATCTCGATCGGATGCGGTTATTCCCTTAACCAGGGAACGCAAGTGCAGCAGGAGAATTTCGGCTTTGTGATACAGATCTACGATCCAATGTTCGTGGCCGCAGGAACATTGTTCAGTGCCCGTTACGTTTTGACGGTGGCGCACTGTTTCCGAAAGAACACCAAGCCGGAGCAGCTGACTGTGCGAGCGGGTCACGATAGGATTTCTAGGGTGTACAAGGCTGGTCGTTCAGTGGCAGGATTAATGCGCCATCCTAAATTCTCGCCTCTAACGCTGCGAAATGACATCGCCGTGTTGAGGGTCAAAGTGGCCATCGGGTATTCGCGCAGGATCAGCTATATACCCTTGTGTTCGACGCCCTTAAGGCGAGATCGAGCCACCCAGTCACCGGTGATCGTGGGCTGGAGTTTGATGAACACCAGCCAGCCACTGAAATCGATTAGTGTAAAGGTGGATGTGCCGAAGAACTGCCGCCAATGGTTTCCCCAAGTCCCAGGCGGTGTGTCCTGTGCTTTGACGGCGAACAATGAAGGCCTTTGCTATGGCGATTCCGGTGATCCCCTGATCAGTGGCGGTGAAGTTTGCGGCCTGGCCATTGCCTTTCGGCGATGTGGGGATAAGCGCTATCCCGCCCTCTTCACGGAGGTCCACTACCATCGCCCGTTTATCGCCCAAGCCGTACTCACATTGGACAGGCAAATGTTGAAAAAACCGAAGGCAAGGGGTTGAGCCCGCCAGCAGAGCTGAGTGTATAGTTAACTCCAAATTGATCACGTAAAACATACCCGATTGCAGCTGAATGAAAGTCTATTTATGGTTTTGGAGGAGGACTCACCTGCAAGCAAACAGACAAAGGAAAATTCAATTACAATCGACATACAAAAAATAAATAAAAACCAGACGCAAAAGGAAATTTTGAATAATTTATAGGGTATTGTAAAATAATAAAGAGCAGTGAAGGCGAAGAACAAAGCAACAAAATATATAGTTAACAATTTGCAACTTTCATTTTAACAGCATAAATATTAAAAAAAAAAAAAACAATTACGGGGGGAACTTTAGTCAACAATAAACTTGTAAACATTAATCCTTAGTTACATTTTTAAAATAATTTCTACCATTCCCATTAAACTAAAATATAAATTGATTCTTTTTTTTTTTAATTGTAAAAGGTTACTGTAATAGTTGCCATAGTTGCTATAGAGTATTGATAATTTCCATCACAAATCGAATAACATATTTTCTTCTTAACCTTTATGACTGTTTCCGACCGCTTTTTTGCCTTTCATACGTTTCATTTTTCATTCCCAATGGAAAATCAATTTGCGCTTTACATAAAATATCAACAAAAGACCTTCAGTTCGAGTTGGTTTGTTAAGGAATTGGAATTGGAAATGGAGTTGGAGTTAAAGAGATTCCATACCGGGTTGGTTGGTTGTTGGTCGTTCGAAAATCACGGCACATAACCCATTAACCCACCGTTGCCCAACTATGCATGTCGACGATGACGATTTTCATAAAATTTACCTTGCGTTCCTCTTTTCTTTTCTTTTCTTTTCATTTCTTGTTTTCCTGCTTTTTCTACTTTTTGTGTGTGTGTGTGTGTCTGCTTTGCTCAGGAACAACATTTACATAATGAATTCATATGTTTAATAAAATCTACACGTGAACATGAATATACAACGTGGCAGCGACGATGTCGCACAAAAGGACAACCTGATTCCTGCGAGTCCTGTGAATCCTGAGCCCGGCACAAAAGTATGCAACACAAGTAGGAAGCCAGAAAGGAAAAAAATTAAGCAAACCCAAGTTTATATACCCTTGCAGCTTTAACAAAAAATTGTACATTGTATAAAACAACTTTATTTCGATTTTTAGGCGAATATTCGAAATAGTATATCATAACTATATTTTTGAGTAAATTCGTATACCTTTAAATAAAAACAAGTTATACATTTTTTTAGTTTTGTTTCTATGGGAGCTATATTATATAGTCCGGTCAGACATATATACCTCCTGCAAAAAAATGTTCATAGCTTTAAAACTAAGAACTAGTTTCTTTGCGTAGAAACGGACATACAAACGGACATGGCTAGAAAAACTCTCCCAGTGATGCTGATTACGAATATTTGCATACTTTTGACTGACATTATAATACCCTCTGCAAGGGTATACAAAACGCGGGTGGCGAAATGGGGTAGACATCGCATCGGATGGAATAGCAGTTTCTTTTTGAATAGTTTGACGATGACGATGACAATGACGATGACAATGACGATGACGACATGTTGACGTCATGTCGCCCAGCTCCACAGCTCTCTATGGAGATTGAAAAGAGCGGTGAGGGACTGACTTTGCTGTTTGGCCAAATTAAAATCATATTAAATTTGCATATTGCGCCAAAGTGTCGGCACAAAGTGTCGTTGTGTATATATGTGTGTGTGTGTGTGTGTGTGTGTGTGTGTGAGAAACATTGTTATCGTCAATCGGACTATCGACAGGTGTTGCATAATGGACTGCGACTGGCGGAGATTATGGAAATATCCATTTAAAATTCGCAATCGCAAAAGGGGAGCTAGGTGCGACATATAAAGTAGGAAAAAATAGCGACATGAGTACTTTGATAATGGCTTTGAGTATAACTTATGTTGATTTAGTTTAGGAATCATAAATTAGATCACTGGGTATAGGGTTAGGCAATCGAAATTTATTAATTTAATATCAATTATTTATTAATTTACCTATCCGTTGGGTGCGTGCTTAAAGTAACTCATTTACTCTCGATTAAATAAACAGATTATTAAAAGAATCACTTCCAAATTAATTGAATAAGCAAATGAATGTGCAAAACATAATTGAAGGCATATATGCCTATATGAAATAATTGTTCGATTAGGAAAATTGTTGGTGTGCGATAATTATAGACCCACAAACAATAATTTTTAAATAAACTATACAAAATCTTTGCTAGATATAATATTTTTTATCGAGTTTAATTGATATAAAACCGAAGAAAGATAGCTAACCTTTAGATCATTGAAATCATTTCATCTGGAGAAGTTTTTCTGGCATTCGTAGGTCGATTATTTATGCCAATCATCGATTATTCATTGCAACTCAGCACAAAGTGTACCATCCAAGCCACAAAAATAACTGGGACAACAAATCAACTATATTGTGATATACTGTGAATTTCGGACATAGCCAGACACAAAAGTTTTCAACAAATTCTCGACCGCAAAACTGTCGAAAAAAATAAAAACTCATCCAATGACCCAATCTCTAAAAATAAACAGAGAGAGAGAGAGAGAGATACGACTGATGGAGGTGAGGAGGCAAAAACTAGGGAAAAACTGGCGTAGGAGTTGCCAAAGTCGGTCAAGTTGTTGTCAGAGAAATGGGGAAAGACCAAGAGAGGTCATCCAATTGGCAATTGTGATAAATTGTACTGCTAAGCAATTTAAACCCGAGACTGAAACACAAACAGGCAGAAAATCCAGGATTGCGTCAGTCCCTCGTCAAAGTCAAGGGAAAGGGGTAACAAACAAAAAAAAAAACAAAACAAAAAGGTTTGACTTCTGGCCAAGAATTTCATTCTGCATCTGGTATGTAAAACTTCTTTACTAATAATGCCTCAATTGTCCTTCATTTTTGGGGTTTGGGGGCTAAAAAGGATTGTCCATCTATGCCCCAAAAATAAAAAAAAACCCAATACACTTGCCACCCCTCACAAAAAAAAAAAAAAACAAAAAAACAAAAAGAAAACACACATGTAACACATTACCCTAGTTAGGGGTATCTTTTCTGTTGTTTTTGCTTTCCCGCTCGTATTTTTCGGTCTTTTTTTTTTGGTATCTTGAGTATTAATCCTAATTGAAGGGAAATCCCCTGATGGACACGCACTGTTCTGCTGTTTTTGGAGCGAGAGTGGCAACCCTTTTCTCTGCTTTTGGTTTGAGTTAGCCTTCTTGGCTATTTTATGGTGTTTGCTTTTTTTTTCTTTCAATTTTTTTTGTTTTGTCTAGTTTGGCTTTCATTTTTGTAGCTGAAACTGAAAAGTGGACTTAGGACTTAAGATTATCTCCCAGAGCGCAAGCAAGTGGGAATAAACAAAATACAAGTCGATGTTCCCTGCTACTATCCCTTCAATCAAAAATCGTTGCATACTTTCTGGCCATGGCCCGTGTATCATAATTATGTAGCAACAAAAGCAAACAGAATGCGGGCATAAAGCTTGCTAAAAGCATAAGACACTAATTCTGACCAGAGAGAGAGAGAGCGAAATAAAAAATGCTCAAATAGACATTTAATGATTCCCCATTGTCATTACATAAAGGTGACTTATAAAAACATTATTTCACACGCACACAAAGGAGGACAACAAAAAAAAGGGAAAATTGGGAGGAAAATGCTGAAGGAAAACCATGCGGGCCGAGCTTATTTGTTGCCACGCAGGCATTTCATGTTGGCTAACGAGCACTTTGGGCATACTACCTACCCTCCCCTCCCCTCCCCTCCCATTTTTTTTCGCCTCTGCTTATCTGAAAAGAGTAGGACATATTAAAACCCGCACAGAGGTAACGCTGTAAAGCTGTGCCAACTGAAACAACAAAATGTATAGTGGGAAAAGAGTGTTTAGAGGCTGACTTAAACAGTAGGAATAGTAGGAAAATGGTTTTAAGGCTGAGTTTCCTTATTTTCTAAACATTGGGGACACTTATAATGAAAACTCTTTGTTCCACCAATATCTGTAAGTACTTTACTTTCAAGAAAACTACGAAACTCAATTGCAAACTCTGCTTTCCTTCTTAGAAACCAAATCAAACGCTCGATTGTTTGAAATTATCGTCTTAAAATTCGATGGGCTCTCATCAGACTAGATTGTGCCTGTTTTTCAGCCATAATTGTGTACCCTCAAAAATCTTTGGCAATCTTTCGGTCTCGTTTCACTTGAAACTTTCTGAACCGAAAAAGTTGGCTCCGATGACCAAAAAGAGGAGTTTCCTTCCCATTCTCTCTGTTTTTTTTTTTGTGTGAGTTTTGAGTTTGCTGTTTTGACTGGGACCGATTTGATTTAAGTTCCGTTTCTGCCTATTGCAAGTTTACTTTGACTTTGTGTTTGCCTTCCTTTTCGGGCTGGCTCTCTAGCAGTTTGATTGGTGGCCTGCTTTACTCATATTTTGACTTTTTATGAGTTTTTTTGTTAGGTATACATTAAGCTTGCCTTATCAATAGCACATTAAAGCAGACTCAGTTCAGATGAGCTTCGGTTGTGTGATTGCTAGTTTGGATTTTCAGTACTGAACTAAAATGTGACTTTACCAAATTACAAAACATTTTTACTTAAATAATGTTGCTATATAGCAATTGTATTCTATTTGGTCTAGTTGCTATCTATCCCGAACTTAATGAACCTATTTTACTGTACCAATGATCTTTGTTTTGAATTATAACTTACATTTTCTTACTGTCCCTATCTACCTCTTGAATGTCCCTTTCTACTCAGATCTTTTTGGTTTTTCATTTGCCTATACAATATACAAATTTTCCTTCTCACATTTACCAATGTTTTAAATTTCTGGGGGATTTAAAATGTCGATCTTTCTGTGGCTTGTTAGGTAAACAATGAAATGTCCGCATATTTGGCACCATTACTCAAATTGCCATTATGCACGCGCTTCGCCTTCGCCTCGAATTGTGCCAACTGGTAATCGAGTGACCCGCTCTCCGATTTTTTACCATTATGGTGGCCACAAATGCAATGCAGTGGAGTTTTCCCCCTGTTCAAACGGCAATGCGACACAATCGCAGGAAAAGAGGTAACCGCAACCGCATCGAGCGTTGCATTTTTCCGCTTTCCCCCCTTTTGCACGTGTGTCGAGAGTTCATTATCGCCTCTACAAATATATACACACACACACACACACACACAGCACATACCCAACACACACCACACACTATGTGGAACACTCACATTTGCATTGGCATTTTCTATTGCCATTTTCTTTCTCGGTTTTGGGGGCACATTACAATTTAAATTGTTCGCATGCGGCCGGCAAAACTTGTCGCATATTATTTATGGGGAGGTACTTCTCCTCGGCTTAAAAATGTTAAACAAGCAAAAAGCTTTGCATACATTTCGAGGACGGCAGGCAGGAGGAGCACAGGATACAGGACACAGGATACGGGATCCGAAAAGGAGGACCGCACGCTGTGTTTGCGGACTAGGCTCAAGATTTATGGCTTTGCGACAGACGGACAAACGGACAAACGAACAAACGGACAAACGAAACGGACAAAGGACAGCGGACAGCCCCAAAAGAGACAAGGGTACACGGAAAGCCGAAGAAAAAGAAGTCAGACAGACAGACAGAGAGACGGACAGACAGACGGGATAAAACAGGCGGCAAAGGAAGCGAAAAACAGGGCGGGAAACCCTTGAAGAACTAGAACCGGAACAATGAAACTTCAAGAAAACCACAAAGTTGTGCGACTGGCGAGGGGGGGAGGAAACTTGGGGCCTAAAGACTCTCAACCCCAAACAAGCGAAGCGTTGATTTCCTCGTTTGTGGATGGAGTTCATAGTCGTCTGAGCCTATTTGCCTCAAGTGTAAACCTTTGCATACAGCAAATTTAAAATTACTTTCCAATTCAAGCGTTTAAGTTTGAAAGCCACTCAATTATGCCAGCCATCTCTTATCTCATATAAGCCCGCATTTTTCATTGAGTAATTTAAGTACGACTTAGTAAATTTAAGTCTAGAAAGGTAAAGTAAATTTATTTCTAGAAACCTACTTAAGGTCTTTAGATCAGTTTTTACACATTATTTCACATATTCCACCAGGTTTTGAATTTAAACCAATAAACCAATAATAAAACAATAATGACATTAACGAATTATTTGCTGTAACAGAAAAATAGTCATATGTCTACTGGTTTCAGCGAGTATATCATATATAGCTGCCATAAGCCAAAAATCACATAGTTTAATTGCATTGCATTTTGCATTTATACATATACGTATAATAATCGAAGTTAAGTTTGGCTTTTCGAAATATTCTTTCATTCTGGTTGGAAAATATATTTATCTTTCAAAGCAGTTGACTATTTGTATGCTTTGAAACTGGGTTTACCCCTTTTACCCTTACGCTTACCTTTCTCAACATGTCCTCCAGCGAGTCCACGTCCAATCCGGCGTAGTTGTTGTTGAACTGACTGGAGCAGTTGGACGAGTTGCTGGTGTACCGCTTGCGTCTGCCCAAAGCGGGTGAATTGACCAGCGAACTGGGACCGCTGTTCGAGCCGGCGGCATAGCCCAGCTGGGCGGCGGCCATCAGCGGGAAGAGCGATGGGTGGGGCAGTGGGTGACCACCCAAGTGGTTGACATGCGGCCCAAGATGGTGGTGCGAACTGCCGGGGGAACAGCAGACGGGGGGATTTCCCCCATTGGCCAACGCAGAGGGTCCACCCACCAGTTGGGCACTTCGCACCGCTGCCAGGGGTGAGGGTGGTGCCGTATGGTGGTGCAACTGCAGGTGGTGCAGCGATGAGCCATGGTGGTGCTGCATGTAGGAGGGTGATCCGCTGCCCGATGAACCACCAGCCGGACTGGAGGAGGAGTTTTCCACCAGAGTGGAGCTCGTCGAACTGCAGGATTCGATAATAGTGGTGGTGGTGGTGCTGACGGTGACCTCCATGCTGGTGGTGCCCACACCACCACCAGATAGATTCATTCCCGATCCCGAAACGGGTCGATCGGCTTCCCTTTTCTTGGGCAAAAGTGTGCTGCTAGTGGATCCAGCAGTGGCGTCCATCGGTTGCTCTTCGGTATTTTTTAGCCAGAGTTCGTTGACCTTTTGAGTCCTTTTTCAACGCTGGCGGCTCTGGTCACATTGCATAATTTGTGGCGCGCATTAACCACTCGAAAATTGCACTTGCTGCTGCAAGTGGGCAAAAGAATTGTTTGTTGCAGTCACTTACTCTCTCTCTCTCTCTCTCTCTCTCTCTCTTGTCGCGTCTGGCATGCAAATTTATGTTGTTTGTTTTTTAATTGCAGGCTGCATACTTTTAGGCGTCGCCCACATGATTAATGGTCCCCAGGGGTTAAGAGGGAATAAGGGTAAGGGTTAAGTCGCGGGCAGACATTAACCGCACAAACAGATGGTTGTCATTTGCCATTTGATGGGACTAAATCGAAATTCGAATGGAATGGAAATCGAATTCCACAACGGCCAGTGCCATAACAATATATAAAATATAAATAAATTAAATCCGATTCCTGACAGCGGACAACAGGGCGTCAAAATAAGGGGCGGGGCAGCTTCTTTTTGTAAGGCTTAATCGATTTCGAAATTATATTGCCAGTGATTTTAAAATGAAAGCAGTAATGCAACTAAAAAAACAGTACTTATTATTTACTTTTGTCACAATTAGTTGCAAATATTTGCGAGTAATGCTTCAGCAGAAAGATAAATGCAAAATATAAATAGAAATGTAATATATCAACAATATAATACTGTTGAATAAAATAGACACATTTATTGAACATTATTAAACCACCACATAGAGTTTAAAAATATTCAATTCGATAAATAATACGATAAAGGATGCTGAATGTAACTAATAACAGTACATTATATTTGTTTGTCATTAAAAGTTATAAATAATTGCTTCGAATGCCAAATATAAATACAACTAAAATCTATTAAAAATAAGATAATTCAAGACATATTAATTAAACCTTATTTAACTTTCTCATATCCAAGCTGGATGCCAAATAGGGTTTAAAAAATATTTAATCCGATAAATAAATGATTGAGGATTCCGAAATTTCGCAAACAAAATCGCTGGACCAAGGGTAAACTGGACAAGGAGCGGCAGAACCTCACACACGCTTGACTTGAGCCAGACGTTGGACGCGTTGGCAATTTACAACAAGCAGCAATCAATTCCAGAGCATAAATAACTCAATTTCCAACGCCCTCAGTCCGCAGTCCTCAGTTCCCATCGATGGGGCTAATGCTGTCCGGCCATCGATAAATTCTCCGTGAAGGGGGGTAGAAATGGAGGAGAAATCATAGAGAAATGGTGGAGAGATGGAAGAGAAGCGACCTACAAACGGGAAGGAGGCTGCAGAGAAAGCGGAGACAGATTGTGAAGTTCGAATTAAGAGGGGAGAAGCTTGGCTAATTAGTGGCTAAACCTTTTTCGATTATGCTTTAGACATTGGCATGACTTGAACCTGAACTAAGGATTAAAACACAAAGAATAAATTTATAACTTTAAATATAAAATTTAGAAATAAGCCTGTTTTAAGCCAAAAATCGCTTTTAAAAGGTAATACTTTTAAAAACAGAAATTAACATTATAACATTGGACTTAATTCGGAATAATATTAAAACGTAAAACTATGACACAAAGTGGCTTGTAAACTTCAATATATAAATATATAAAAAAAAACTGATTGTAATGCAAATCTTTATTTTAGCATTCCATAGATTTAGAGAACAGAAATCAGTTTGCAAGAAAGTTATTCAAGCAAGTCTTTTCGCTCCGTGTAGCTGGCAGCAGAGATCAGATTTCAAGTGAAGTTTGTCAGAGAAATGCGATGCAACAGCATCAGAAGCAACAGCAGCAGCAAAAGAGTCGCCATATGTATGTGGGTGGTGTTTTCAAGAGGGTTTTTAGCAGCAGTAGTGTCCTGGCCAGCAGGACATGTCCTTTGTGAGTGTGCGGTGCTGTGTTTATGCGTTGGCCATTTCGTGCAAACATTTCATGAAATGAAAAAGTTGTCTATGAGTTTTATTCTTAATGCGTGAAATGGTAATGCGCAACCAACCTTACTCTTTACAAATTAGGTGGCAACGCCGTACGCCAAAGTATACAATTGAAGTTGAGTTTAAATAAAATTATTTTCGCCTTAAAAGGGTAAATCAATTGTTTGATGTCTCCACTTAGAGTCATTGCTTATCAGATTAGCTTGTGTGCTTTCGCGATGGAAAATGTACTAATAATCAGCTGACATATCAGAAACTGGCAGAGGTGCCAGACATGTAAAATAGGTAAACTACTCTGAACTCATGTAATCAAAAATTCATGAAAATCATGGCATAAACATAGTTAGTGGGTATGAGCTCTTGTTGCCGGACTGGTGTCTGAAGTTTTGTATCGTCCATTTAACAATGTGTGCCACACACACACACACACACACACACACACACACACACACACACACACAGCATTTACGATGATGATGATACATACACTGGTCGAAAAGGGGGTATAGTGCTGCTGGGGGAGGATGGGCCAGCAGCAGCTCCTCCTCTTTGCTTTCAACCATGTGTGGCAGTTCTTGTAAGGACAAGCCGTTTTGGAATCTATATGGCCAGACCATAATTCACTGGAGATAATATACATACGCCCTGGGTGTGTGTGTGAGTGAGAGTGCGGGTAGATGTGTGTGGCAGACAGGAGGCATGCAATTGCCTCGACACACGCACACCAACACACATGTAGGCATATATTAATGACACGAGCTTGAAATTTAAAGCCTGTGCAACTGAAAATCTCCATAATATCTGAGTGGCAAGGGGAAAAAACTGCACTGGCAGGCAAACCATTCGATTGAATTTCGGTTTAAGTTCAAATTTCACTTTCTGCCAATGGAAGAAAGCTATGTGCTCTTGTTTTCATACTAAACAAAAAGTAACGAATTTTTAATGTTAAATGCAGATAAATATTTAAAAAACTAAAGATTGGCTATTGGCTTTATAATAAATAAACTTGCATACTTTTTATTACCTTAAATACTAAATTTTGTAATATCAAAAATGGAAAGCTTTATTTTTTAATCAAGTAAACAAATATTTTTCAATTAGTTTATATTTTATTTTACTATTTTACAAATCACATCGGGAAACTAAAACTATTAAAAAAAATTTCACAAAAAATGAACATTTTTAATAAGTATTTTACGCTGAAAAATAACTTCCTTTTAAAAAAAGGAAAACAAGTTTTGACACAAAATGAACATCCCTGACACAACAGGCGTATACTTGATTTTTTTTTTAATTTTCTTAGAATTGAAACGAGTTTTTTCTATTTATATTCAAATTTATGAAAAGTTTCTGGGGCATAAGCAAAAAACCGCACATCCAACAAATGCGAAAAGAATTAACATAAACCATTTGAAAGCAGTCGAAAAATTTGATTTGCTTAAATTACGAATTAGATTATCATTTAAGTGCGATTTTATAAGCCACAAACAAACAGAAACAAATGAAATTAAATAATAACATTTGGTCCTAAGCACTTGGGGCAACAATTGAAAACATATTTTGCGGGGAAAAGTCCAAGGACATAAAATGATTTGGGGTTTTAATTTCACACTGCTCCATTTCCTTTGGGGAAAATCTGCCACAGATAGGCCACACACACTCTACACATCAAAAATGTCTGAATAAAAGCAAACAAAAATCCGGCAAAATTAAAGACAAACACACGCTCATCTTCTTCCCCTCTGAAAAAAAGCAATGTTTACTTTGACCGTTTTTGTTGTTATCCTGTTATAATTTTATTTTTTCTTAGACGAGAGAGAGAGAGAGGATGCAACAATTAAGCAGGCAAAAACTTCACTGACCAACTATAAAATTCGATTTGAAAAAAATTGAAAAAAAAGGAAGAATCGCAGAGCGAACGATTTCACTTTTTCGCGCAACGCGGACGACGACGACGATGGAACACACAAAACGGAAACGGAAGTGCCCTTTTCAGACTTTTCGGCACGGAGCACGCAACGCGTTACGCAGCCAAAGACAAACTGATTGCCGTGTGCCATGCCATGGATATATGGATGTGATTTACCGACCCACACAGCTGCAGTTACACACACACACACACACACAGGCACACACACACTCGCCCAGTGCCACGAACAGCTGTCAGGAAATGCGCATGTGTGTGTGCCCGCGTGGGGAGTTCGCCTGCCAGTGGTGGGTTTCTCAGCAATTTCCCGAGTGGGGAATAACGGTAAAGGTTCGGAGAAACAAGGTCCTGCAGGTGGAACTTTTTCAAGCGACCAGCGAGTCCTTACACTCAAAATAAAAATAACTTTAAATACATTAATGGCATCGCACCATAAACTTTTCTAAAATGTAGCAACAAATTTCTAAAATATAGGGCTGTACATATACTATACATATTAAAGCTAATTTTTTCTAAGAAATAGCATAGTTTATAAAAAATGAGACATGTTTATTCATAATAAATTTTTAAATTGACGTTTTATGCATATTTTATGCCTTTTTTCTCGTAGACAGTAATTAATACCATTGTTAGGGTACCTAAGAAAAATAAACATTTTTTTTATAATTTCTATTAACAACAATTAGTAGATTGCATTTATTTTTGTAAGATTATATCTCAAAAATTTGTTTTATTTTGAAAGATATAATAACAGTTATTAGAAACTTATAGTTATTTGAAATCCCCAGTAACTTCAAATTGCCTCTTTTGGGAATCAAAAAATCCATGCAATGATTTATAGCATTCTTTCTTATCATGAATTAAAATGGTATTTATTAATTATTTTTGATATTCACTTTTAATTTTTCAGTGTAATACTTACTAACCAAAAAGTACCATTTCACTTTGGGCGCCAAAGTGAGAGCTGAATTTCCCAGTATTCCTCAATGCGAGGGTTTTCCCTTCTCTGCTGGTGTGGTGTGTTCGTTGGCTCGGCCCTGCTGATTGCTCCTGCCTTCGAAGACCTCCTGCTCCTGCTCCTGCCTCCCATCCTGTAACATTCTTTCCTGCTCTGATTGTGTACATTAAAGCCAAAGCCAAAGCCAACACAAAAACACACACAAACAAAAAAATAAAAGGGAGAAGAGACAAAAACGTTCGCTTAACCTTAAAGCGGCCAAGAAAACCAAGTTGGCCACATGTTTTGGCCGCCTGCGAATTTTTAATGACTACCAACGGTAAGGGAACTGCACACGGCTTTGCCTTTACCACTGCCCCTCGGATTTTTCCCCCGCAACTCGCGTACTCCTTCTGGTTGTTCACGGTTCGCGTTGCCAAACATGTTTGCATTTGAATTTTAAATTAAACGTCGTCGTCGTCGTAGTCGTCGTCAGCGAGCGATGATGATGACGACAACATGTCAACATCAAACCAAAGAAGGAGGCACGCCCTCTCATCATATGGGTCGACTGGGAGGAAAATAGGATGGGAGGGCATTAGTTGTGCTATTGATTTTCGGCTGACCTTTTTTCGCGATTGGAGGGGAGCACAGAATGCGAAATGCGACAGGGTGCCAATTAAGAGAAAAAGCGTCTTGTCAGGATCGAGGAATTTGGAAACGGGATATATTCCGTTTAAAAAAACTGAAATTCCATGCCTAATTTAAAACACTGAAATGATTTTGATTTGGTTAATTTGTCGGCAATCCAAATTTGTTTTTATTTTAAATGCTTTACTCAAAAGGGGAACATTTCGATGCTTAGTGTTTATCATCTATTTAAAAACTCATAAAATGTTACTAGTTTAAAATGGCTGTATAAGTTTTAGCATTGAAATGAATTGGTTTTAGTTAATTTGTTGTCAATCCCAATTTGTTTGTAATTTAAATTTGATATACAAATTATTTAAACGCACAATTTAGTTTAACAAAAAATGAATTCCACATATTTAATGAACCACAAAATATGTAATTTGTATTCCTTTAAATTCAAATTTTTATGCGTATTGCTTTCTAATCTGAATTTCAATGAGCAATTTTAGTTGAAATAAACATTTTTTCAACCGTTTATATGGTTAATTTTTTCAGCCGTTTATATAATAAATAATAAATATTTGGCCAACCAATTTAAAAAATGTAAGCTGCTGATATCGTAAGCCTTTGTAAATTCAGGAATTTTAATCCTGCTCAAAACACACTTTTCCCCCGGTTTACTGTCAATTTGCGAAACGTCCTGGCAGGTGGCAAAAACGCAATCACATGCAGAGAAACACACACAATAGCCAGGCTCCAATTGAATGCAAAAATATTTTGCGTTTAGGTTAAATTTTCCCATTTACTTTTGTGGCTCGAACTCGGCAGGAGGCCAACTTGTTGAGCAATTAAGCCAGAACGCTTAACATGTCAGGCTCGGAAACCTCGATAGATTTATGCAAACTGAACGGCTCATAAGGACACAAAAATACAAGGACACAGCGAGGACATGACATCCATTGCCGGGAAAAGTCGAGAATAAGGGACTTCACGCTGCGAAAAGACGCCATGGAAAATAAATATTTGTGTATAAGTGCAAAGGAAAAAGGTAGACGATGAGAGAAGCAGGATTAATATGTGGGTTTTCTTTAAAAGCTAAAGCAAGCTAAATATATATATTTATGTAAGAAGCTTTAACATAAAAGCAACACAATAATAAATTTTTTCTGTTAATTAACTGCCATAGGTAGCTGGTTTATCCGGCTCAAAGGACCAAATGTAGGTAAGTTCAGTTTATAAGTTGAGCAAGCAAATATATGTTAAAATAGAAGGTGTTAATATATAAGCAACACAAGTGTTTATTTGTGTTTTGTTTTCCATAGAACGCTGTTTCATCCGGCGTGAAGGACCAATTGTAAAGACTGCCAATAAAACACATGTGTTTTTAATGGGTTTCTATTGACCATGAAGAACCTTTTAATTTTTAAGCTCAAAAATCAAATAAAATAAAGCTGTTACTCAAATACAAAGAACTATAGTGCTTCATCGAAATGGATTTAGAAAAAAATCCACATAACAGACTAATGCGATAAGTGATGCGAATGACCCATCACTCAATTGAGTGCGGAACGACATCCGCGACACCTTTTAAATTACCCCCTCAGTTGCGGGCGATTGTTTGGCTTTCATCACATACTCTGAACATACCCCAAGGGCAATATGCTGCCCCGTAACTCCACCCAAAATGCACACCCATGCTGGCATTGTTAAGTGAATGTTTGTCGCCTGTGTTCAAGGGAAAGCGGAGAGAGGTATATGAGGGGGGTAAACTTCTGTTATTGTTGACCCAAGCCCAACAACTGTGAACAACAGAAATAACTGAGGGAAGCTACTGCAGCCACTGGCTAATACCCTTTTTAATCCCATGCACATAAATATATATTTTATTGCCCTCTCACACCCACTCAGCACTTTTGGCAAAGGCTTTTTCTTCCTCCGATTCCATTGGACATGGCTCCTAATGTGTTTGTTGTGTGGAACAGGGATCCCGTACATCCGATAGCATATATCGGCAAAGACTTGAATGTTCTTTAAAATGTAAATATTGAAAAAACTAGTTTTAAACGGTATTGTCTTAACTATGAATAAAAGAACAATTAAATAACCAAACCATTGACCACTTGAGTATCTTGTTTTTATTATTCTCTTCGAAAAAGGTATTTTTGCCATCCCTAGAGTGAAAAATATGTTCGTTTTTCTCGCTTTTACACCACGTTTTCCATGCCCTTTGTTGATGACTTTAGCTGGATCCTTTTTAAGGCAAGTCTTTCTTTCGTTTCGCTTTACCATTCCGCAATCCGCTTAAAATAATTTTTTGGCATTACTTGGAGTGTTTCACTCCATTTGTTATGAATGTGCCAGTGTGTGTGTGTGCATGTAAGCCAGAGTTATACATTACAACATTAAAAGGCTTAAATAATACATGGTCAAAGCCGCTTAACGCACATCCTTGCTTGATACAGTTTTTCATGCTCCTTCATATAGGATCCTAAAAATGTTATAAACCAAGTTACAAAAAAATGAAGATATTATTTTAATCACTGAAAAGCAATTATTCTACTTATTCAAAGTTTTTCATTTTATAGTGATTATTTATTATATTAATCTCTGCAGCATTTGATGCTTATTACCATGATTATTTTATTTTTTGGTTGTCATTTATAAGGCGTAGGTTAATATCTAAGCCAAATGTCTTGATGTTCACTTCGTCCTTCGTCCATGATGGTCCTCCCCTTTACTATTTTTACACAATTTATGCGCTTTTGCCCCCACCTCATTTTGTATTGTCCATCTGCTCGCCGTGCTCGTGTCCCACATTTAAATTCTGCCTCCTTTTATTCATTTTTGTTTGTCAACAGTATAAGCTAACTTTTCCCCCTCTGACCACACTTATTTTCAGTTGCTCAACATAAAAAGCTGGGCAAATACTTATAAAAATGTATGTATAAAATGTTTTATATAAAAATACAAAAAAGAGACCTACCCAAAAAAAAAAGAAAATAAAGAAAATGCTGCAAAAAATTGTTGAGCTAAATATTTATTTGATTTTCTGAGCTTCACCCTCTTCATCTTTACTCTTTTTTGTATTGTTTTCGCTCTAAGTTTTGGTTTGCTTGCTGAATTCTTTGTTGTTGCTGGCTGGGTATGAGTTTTACATTTTGTTTATGTATATTACAGAGAGAAAAAACCCATTATTTGTTACATAATAAACAATACATTTTATATTTTAATCATTAATAATATTTTAGTTATATAAATCAAAAAAAAATTTAGTGAAATAAACAACAAATAAAGAATAGCTGTATATATTTATTTTTATAAAAAAAAATCTATATATTATGAACACTTTATACATTTTTAGCACACAACTAGTTTTAAATTTCGTTTTTAGACAAAATTGATCCAACTCTTTCAGTGCTCAAAAATTCTGAATTGTTGTTTTTGTGCCGATTTTTTCCGTCTTGTATTTCTATGTTGCCTATTTAAATGGACGAGCTTTAAATTAGGTTTCTCTTTGGAACTTAGCAAA